GACGTGCTCACTTCCACGAGGCGCAGACTTTTGTTTTTCTCTGTAGAATGTAATTTAAAATTTTCATCTCGGAAAGAGATCTCTTTAAAACATTCATCCGCCGTCTAATATAAAAAAATAATCCACATTCTTTATTTTGGATCCTTATGGAGATCGAGGAAAAGTTTTGATTCTGAACGATTATCTCTCTTAGCGCACAGTTGCGCGAAGTTGCAATTTTACAAGGCGTATGATGAAGCGATGGGCCTAAATTCTCAAAGCTATTTTGCAATTCGCTCGTTCTTATATAGACATCAAGTTGAAGAGACTTCCGCCTCTTCATCTCGAGCGCGCCTTTATCGTCAGACTAATGATTTGCAAACAGTGTCTTTCAGCCCGTTCCTCTCGTTACGAAGTTTTCAACAGGCGTTGGTACATGAACAAGGCAGACATCTTGAAACTTTCGAAAAGTAAAAGACAAAAGTAAAGGAAATCTCACCTACCACGAGCTCCGTTTATGCCATTGTCCGAATTTTATTTGCTCAAGTGCTTTCTTAAATGTACTGCAAAGAGCGAGTTACTAAGATTATAACAAATGTATTCTAGTGAGTTACGTAACATTATATTATTATATTTATTATATTTTATTTATGCAATTCTTATTTCCTTGTATTGTAAATAAAAATTTTATTTTATTTATTTATTTTTATAGCTGTATAAGTTTTTTCTTTGCAGAGATACTATAATTAAGAAATTTAGTCAGAAATTTTTATTGCAAAAAGTATTTTTAGTTTTTAATTTTTTTTCAAGAATATAAATAAACAATAATATAATTTAGTAGAAAATTAATATCTTTTATGATAAAGAGCAATAAATAATTAAAATATTCTTTATATTCTATATAACTAATACTCTCTATAACTTTCTTGATGATTGCGCATAGAATATTTTTTATTACGTTATTTACTATTATTATTAAACTTTCTATTTCTACAATATTAAATATTTTTAAAAAATTTTTTTAGTTTATAAAACTTACATAACATAATGCATTACATAACATACAATGTAATCAACAAAATAAAAAAAATAACATTATAATTTAATAAAGTATATAAATAACAAATTACATGTTAAAAATCTTTTTAATGTATTTATATATTCTTCATTTATACTTTTACTGGCTTTCAAAAATTGTCCTTTATTATATACCCAATAGCGCCATCTCTTGAGGAAATAAATTATCCTTTGCCTTAACGTAGAAAGTATGATAGCAGTATTCTCAAAGGGAATGTACATACCATCCTAAGGTTAACAGTAAACGAACTATATTATTATTTCTTACAGCTGCAGCTACAATCGTTAAAAACGCATTTATTAGAAAAAAAATAGCATGTAACTTTATAATATGCCTTTTTCTTTTTATAGCGACCCAGCCAAGAGTGAAGATATCAAGGAAGACATTAGTTGCAGCTGAAAAAAAATATTGTTAATTCGAATGAATATTAACAGACTCTTGAATCACATGCAGTACAAACATTTACAGAAAAAAAAGAGAAGACGTTGAGTTAAGTCAGATTCCGAATATCCTTGATCATGAAACATTATTAGAAGCTTCTTTAGAAGAATTGGAAAACAAAACAGTGTTGGGAGAAAATTGTGATTACTTAATAATTAAGTTTAAGTATAAACAATAACTTATAGACTGACTAGAAATTTTAATTTACTTTTATAAAAATATCGCGCATACATAGTACAACATGCGCCTGCCGTTTAACGTTCTCGAAAAGTGCTAAAAATTATAACTTCTGCATTGTAAATCAAAGTTTGTAGAAATAATATAAAAATTAATAGAAATAATAAAAAATTAATAAAATTCTATACAGTTATCTTTTGTTTATTGTCACGATCACGGCAAAGAGTAAAATCAGAACAGTTTATTTGAAGGATGATTAGTAATAAGCGTGTTTGTTAATTAGTTTAATGTAACATGAGCGAGTTTAACACACTCGACAATTAAAAATGGATTTGTCATTAATGACAAATTGGGCATTATGTTAAATCATAAATAAGCAAATATATATCATAAATATATTATCATTAATATATCATAAATATATTTTAATATATCACGATTTATATAATTTTATTTGTTTTAATATTTTAAATATCCGAGATGTATAGTACAAATATCTACCTATATAAAGGCTACATGCCAATAAATTTTTTCTCTATACGAATGACATGGCAGATCACTGTGTTCATTATAATTAAAACGATCTCTATTACAGGGTGGGCCATCTATTGGTACGTTTTTAAAAATGCGATCAAATGAGCATACATTGATATTTTTTATTAATTTTTTTTTTGTTGTGAAGCTAAAAGTATCCGCGTCAAGAATGAAAAACGATTTCGTTCATGTGGCTCCCTCTACTGGCCTTACAGTATGCCATTCGGTCACCCCAATTATTAATGACATTTTGGACTACCTCGGCGCCAATTTCACTCAAAACAGTCGTAATATTGTTTTTCAAAGCTGGAATTGTCTCACACTTTGGGCCACAGCCTCAATATTCTCGGGTGTGCGCACTGTCCGAGCTCTGGGACCACTTCTGTCATCCACTAACATCCCTTTCTCACGAACTTTCCTCACCAATTTGCGTATAGCTCCTTCGGTGGGTGCTCTATCACGACCCATATTTCTTTTCAAAATTCGTACAGTTTCGGCGACACAGCACTGACTTTGAAAATAAGTTTTTAAAATTTCAAAACGCTCTTCAAGAGAAAACATGTTGTTTCGTGCCGCGGACGGTATGACTAATAAACTGTCAAAATTTCGGGTCTGTAGCTCGTTCGGTGTTGCCATACGACGAAATTCAAAAACGTACCAATAGATGGCCCACCCTGTATAATTAAAACAAACGTATGGCTTTGACAATTGTGACTATTTAAGGTAATTAGTTCTTGCGGATTTTTGTTGCATTCCTATTGTGGATTTTTTTCAAACGGAAGATTCAAGGAGTAAACAATCGATAATTTCGATAAAAAGAAACTTATGTATTTAGAATAATTTGTAAATAGATTCTATGGATATCAAGCTTTCTCGTTTCAAGTCGCTACGTTTTTGATAGCTTATCGAATTATATACGTTTGTAATTATACTTTTTCTTAAAATATTATTTAATTGAAATATCATCAACAGCTATTATTTGTTTTTCAGTATGTAGATATACATATATCTTCTCTTCTTTTTTTCATCGTTTTACATTGATTATGCGTCGTTTATCGCAAATGTCATAATCTATAATGTACGTTCATTTGTTGAATTATTTATTATTAGATACTTATTAATACGAATTGTACGTAAATTTATATAATGATATATATATATCATTATATAAATTTACGTACAATTCGTATTAATAAGTATCTAATAATAAATAATTCAACAAATGAACGTACATTATAGATTATGACATTTGCGATAAACGACGCATAATCAATGTTGACTGTAACTCGATAAAAAATCATCAACAAAAAAATAAAAAAGCATTTTAAAGTTTGAAACTTATACTTTAGTACGTTTTTGACGCCTTTTCAAAAAAATGTTGTCTTTACAGTTTATGTATCAAATATCATGCTATAGAATTTTTTATAATTACGTATTTAATAGTGCGTAGTTTGATAAAAAATTTTTTTTCAAAAAGTTTAATATTTTTAAAAAACAGTACATTTATCTCCAAAATTTTTAAAAATTTTCCTATGAATTTTCTTGACTGAATTATGCAACATTGAAGTTAAACTTGCATTACTAAATAATCAACAGTGAAATTTGATAAAAAACCATCACAAAAACTTTTTATCTTCTTAATTCTTAGAATTAAATTTAAAATCAGAAGCTTGTTAAAGTACAAACTTCGAGCTTCAAAATGCTTCTTTAATTTTTTACGATGATATTTCACCGAATTTTAATTGGTTGGTTATAAGCTATGCAGGTTTAGCTTCAATAACGCATAATTTAGTCAAGAAAAATCATAGGAAAATTTTTAAAAACGCATTTTGGAGATAAATCTTTATACTGTTTTTTAAAAATATTAAACTTTTTGAAAAAAAATTTTTTATCAAACTACGCACTATTAAATACGTAATTATAAAAAATATATACTACAATTGATATTTACTACAAGTAATATTACTACAAGTGATATTTGATACAATACAAAACTGTAAAGACAAAATTTTTTTGAAAAGCTGTCAAAAGCATACTAAAGTATAAGTTTCAAACTTTAAAATGCTTTTTTATTTGTTTGTCTGCGATGATTTTTTATCGAGTTACAGTGACCTGAACATTGTACAATTTTAAGTTACATGTCCGGAAATTTTTCGGGTATAGTGTACATATGAATTGATATTTTGCACTCGTGGGATATTTACGTAATAAAGATTTGCGACGATGTAGCGTGACAAGATTTTAATAGCTAAATATGTTGAAAAAGCGATATACAAAAGATACTTCAGTCGATATTTCAGTTAATTATATATTGTGAAATACGTAATTGATTATATGTATATAAATATTATAAAATACGTATCATTTTATGTGTATATATATGTATTGCAATATAACTAAGATTTTAAAAGTTAGATATAGCCGAAAGTTCGATTATAATTTCTATATAGAAGATGCTGATAGAATGCTAATGCATCTCATGTCTTTTTTGAGTTTTCATTACACATTGCACGTAATAAATTTAAATAGATAAAGTTCAAATAATAATTACGCTTGAAATACTAATTACGCTTGAAATACATTGCTACTAAAGAAATAACACAGGTGTTCGAGCCAGGTCTGTGAATTGATAATTGTAGAATCAAGTGTTAAACAAAATTGCATAATGACGTGAAACACGTCTGCGTGTTTTTAAAAGTATATCTCAATAATTGGATGTACATACATATTGTGTGCGCATGAATGAATTATATTCTTATTTATCGGTAGTATCATGGTCAAACAGTTCGATAGAGTATATAAACTGCTGTGCGAATAAAATTTCACTGAAGAAATCGATCTCTTGGTTACGAGGTAAGAACCAATATACTCTAATAATCAATTTATTTCGTATTAAAATCGATATAATTTTGCAATTTTTGTAAATAATAATATTTTTGAATTATAAATTATGATACAATCACGTATTATCGGATGTTTATTTGCAAGACGCTCGTTAAATGCAATTTGCGCGTGTACATATACTTCTGTAAAAATAAAAATAAAAAATAATTTTGTTGAGTAATATAAGTTGCATAGTTACGTTTGTCGATGATAAATTTGCAGATGAATCGTTGGATATTGGTTTTTGCGGCGTTAGCTGCTTTGGCTTCGGTTGCCAACTCATCAAGTAAGTATTACATGTATGTGTGTGTGTGTGTGTATTGATTAAGGAAACAAATTAAAAAAAGAATTATACAATTAAAAAGATATGAATGTGCATGTTAATTGCAGTAACATTTTTCTGAACTTCTCTTTCAGAGAAGGTTGTATGCTACTACGGTAGCTGGGCTGGTTATCGAAATGGTAATGGCAAATTTGACGTCTCAAAAATCGATCCGACTCTTTGCACCCATTTCATCTATGGCTTTGTCGGCATCAATATGAATGGCAACATCCGAGTTTTAGACCCATGGAATGATGAAGCCGATAATTACGGCTTGAATGGTTTTGGCAAATTCTCCGAACTTCGTAAAAAGAGTTCTAGCGCTAAAATAATGGTCGCTGTCGGTGGATGGAGCGAGGGATCCTCGTCATTCTCTGCGGTCGCTAGCAGTGCGGAACTTCGTAAAACATTCGTCAAGCGCGTCGTTGCATTTTTGGAGAAACATAAGTTCGATGGTTTAGATATCGATTGGGAATACCCGAACCAGCGTGGTGGAAAAAAAGAAGACATAGAAAACTTTGTGAAAATGCTTAAGGAATGTAACACCGAATTAAAAAAAAAAGGAAAGATTCTTAGTATTGCTGTTGGTGCTACCGAGTCACTTGCCAGTTTGTCTTATAATATAAAAAAAGTATCCGAAAATGTGGACTTTATCAACCTTATGACATACGATCTTCATGGTACTTGGGACGGCGTCACTGGTCATCACGCTGGACTTTATTCGCCCACGAGCGGAGACAAGCTCACCGTTGTGAGTGTTCTTGGATCCGATATTTGAAATTATCGTATTAATTTCGTTTTCATTGAAAAGTTCAAAGAAAACATTTATTTCTCTAGCACGCAGCCGTACTCTATTGGTTGAAGCAGGGTTGCCCACCTGAGAAACTAATCCTTGGAGTGCCATTCTATGGTAGGGCCTTCACTCTCTCTAATAGTAAAAATAATGGCATTGGAGCTCCTGCCTCTGGACCAGCTTTAGCCGGCCCGTATACTCAAGATGGTGGCTATCTTGGATACAATGAGATTTGCGAAAAACTTAAGCAGGGAGGCTGGACTGTTGTACATGGTAATAAGGAAAAATCTCCTTACGCTTACAAGGGCAATCAGTGGGTTGGCTATGAGGATGAAAAGTAAGTATATTGATATACTAATATAACTCTCCCTTTCATTCCTTAAATTCATATGGCAATTATTTTTATTAATAAGATATAATTTTCTATAATATAATTTTAATAATGCCGTCTTTCTTTTTCAATCCATTCAATCCATTGACATGTTTCACTGCATGACAATATAATAACGTGTACTATATATAAGGTATTTCATCTTAATATTCATATAGAAATATCTTGCAAAGTAAGTATAAAAGATACGAAAAAAGTTTTAGATGGAAATGGAACGTTTTGAAAGGGATATATTTTAGTTACATTGTTTTTCTTCTAGATGAAAGCACCAAAAAGATATAGAGATAACTTTCACTTTTTTAAATGAAATTATATGATTCTTTAATATAATATTTTTCTCTCCTCTCTCTCGAATTATTCCGCATATAAAAGTACTAAAGTTGAAATGTCAAAAAACCAAAAATTTACGATATTTTATATCCCAACAGTGCAGAACTTGCAGCAATATTGCTATAATTTGTAATTTATTCTGGCACATATTGACATAAAATATTAAATATCTCGCAAATTATTAATTTTTTTGTAATCATATACCTTAATACTTTTATGAACAAAATAATTAACTTAATCAATTGGCGTAAAAGAATATATAATACATTTAAAAAATTATATGTTTTTGTCTACAGCTTTTTTAAAAATAATTATATGTTTTTTCAGATCTATTCAAGTAAAAGTTCAATACGTCAAAGACAAAGGTCTCGGAGGTCTAATGACATGGAGTATCGATACTGACGACTTTAACGGAAGTTGCGGTAAAAAGTATCCTCTACTGAAAGCAATGAACGCAGTGAAGAACTAAGTTCTGGTAGAATCAAGATAAATCGACTAAGAAATTACCACAAACAATGCACTTATAATAAGCAATGTTTCTACCTGTGACTGCACTTTCCAATGATATTTGCAAGAAAAATGATTACAATTTGCGATAAAGTTACGATATATTCTACCTATGCCGAAATATCAACGGCGCTCTAAGTACAAAAATTCAATTGTCTAAGCAGACTAGCTTTCCTAAATCAATGATTGTAATTATAAACATCTCGATAATAAACGGTAATAAATGGTCATGTTATACTATTCTATGACGTTTCTACTTGTTATACCTGTACAGCGTGAAACGTAATAAATAGATATGCTTTCTAACTTGTATAGTCAAATATATAAACCCATTTTTTTACATTCTTTTCCTTTATAATAATGTATAATATTTATTTACATGTATTGAGGAAGAGGCGATATTATGGTCAATGTATTATAGACCATAGTAATGACCCCTTTTAATATCTCCTCTATTATCTAAGTGGTGAATTCTGATGATTACATATATGAAATTATTTAGTCTAGTAACTTGCCATTATACCGACGCTAATATGCCAATATAACACAATAGCTAGCATTTAATTTTATTTTAAATAGCGTAAAATTTTGGAAATTTTTATGACATTTTAGCATCGGCAGCAAATTTTTTCTCAAAATTTCATTAATTTTTAATACTTAAATGTAGACATAATCAAATTTTTTTTAATTATCGGAACAATGGATAAATATCGATAATCAATCTTACATCAATGATAATTATAGATGGCTATTAATAATTATCTTTAGAGCTGCATGGCATACAAAAAAAATTTTACTATTTAATTCTAGAATTGGAAAGAGATGAGAAATAAGTTGAACCTCGGTTAAGAATAAACCGTGAGCTGTGCAACTTAAGTGTTTTTTGTATCATGGACCTTACAAATCACAGAATCTAATGTGAAATGCGACTTATGTGACGCAAGTAATCGAATACTCTGTCACATATCATCTCCCTTTCAATTATGTCCAGAAAAATATGATACATTTCCTTGGTAATATAGTTGGAAGATAAAGATATGTCTACCTAATGTCATTTCTCAGTAAATACGTTATAATCGATAATGTTAATAGTTGCATGCTTCAAAAGAAGAATTTTCAGACATCTTTCCGGAAAGTCTGAAAGAGGTATAAAAAATGTTTTTTAAAAAAATTTTAAAGATATTTTTTTAGAAATATAAAACATTTTTTGGAAAAGTCTTAAAAGTGTCTCTTTTAAAACGTTTTTCGAATGTCTTTTAGACTTGCGTGTTGTCTGGAGTATGTACAACAGGATTATGATCTATTACTATAAGAATAATTTCTTCTATTATTACCTCGTATTTTTTAAATAAACATTCTTTACACACATACACACACACACACACACACACACACACACGCACACACACTCACACTGGATATAGTTTTCTGCTATAGAAATAGCTTCTTCAAACTCCCGCTTTGTTTTTATCAAAAATTTGTGGATATATATTATTGATATAAGATTTAATCTTTCTGCACACACACACACATACACACATATACACGATTTAAAAAAATTATATCTATTTTATATTTAGAAATCTGTTTTTCTTTAATATTTGTAAAAAAAATTAAGTTATTTATGGATAATATTGTTTTGCATAAATCACAAAATACAAATTTGTTATGTGTACAAATATTCAACTATTAATATATTTCACTACATATTTTTAATAAAAACGTTCTGTTTTACTATTTATAAAGTTACTATTTATTTGCTACCAACATATCATTTTGATTGTTTTATAATAATTGAACCATTGAGAAGTAATTTAATTTAATTTTAATTATAATATAAAATAGGTAATTTATGCAGATGACATCAAATCTTCCCATATAACACATCTCTCTGAGGGACATCCTCTGAACATCTTTAGAATATTTCTTGGAACTGCGTCATTTATAATTAAAAATCGCAAAATCGTCGATTAAATTTTGATTAGATAACATATTGGAAAAACCGCTTGACTCTGTCATTTTAGATAAGAAATGGGAGCGATCATTAATTATGCGGTATCGACAAATATATTATGTTTAATAATAATAATATATAGCATATTGTGGTACAATGTTCAAATATACATATATTTAAATATTTAATTCATCAATCATATGCGAATCATTTCTTACAAACACTAGATATATTATTAGTATTGTTAGACGCGACATTCTATTTTATTTGTACACATAACAAATTTTAATTGTATCATTGTTCTGTAAAAAAATATTTGGTACGGAAATTGTAGAGAAAAAAAAATTAAGAGTTATATTCAATTTGTAGACTCGTTTAAAATTACGCATATTTATTTCTACCAAAATCTGTAAAAATATGATAACTGTATTTATAATAAAAATTGTCAATTTCAAATGAGGAAAAGTTAAAAAATTCTCTCTCTAAGTTTGATTCTCTTAAAACTAAATAAAAAGCAATAAAAAAATAGACTATGGGAGACCAACGCATTAAATAATGCGTGAATTAATCAACTTATATTAATTAATTTTATTAATGTATTTAATAATAATTACATACAAGAACGTTTCGGTTCACATTCGAGTCATTTTCAACAAATTTAGAATAAAAAAGGAAAAATTAGACTATTTCTCAATTGTTAATTTGTTATAAAAATGCGTACTTGATTATTATAAAATACATACAGATACATTCAGAAATCTGAAAATTTACTATGTTTTCATTAATGGGCGAAATATGTCTATTTTTTAATATTATTCTTTAGCCATATCACAGTTTTCAAGAAAATGGCGCCAAAGAGCAATTTTGAGTGTTTTTATGATGTCATAAAAAGCATGGACAGAGAGAGAGAGAGAGAGAGAGAGAGAGAGAGTAAATTTTTTCTCAAAATTTCGTTCATTTCGTGATAGCCAAATTTAGAAAATAGATTTGTGTTTAGTACATGAAAAACCTATAAGAAATGACAAATTTTGTTCAGATGTGATTTAAAACTGTAAATCACAAACTCTCTCTCTCTCTCTCTCTCTCTCTCTCTCTCTCTAGTGTAATCATTAACACAATCATAAATATCCAATCTTATTTCAAATTGCGAGATTTATTTTCTGCATAAGTATAAATATAATTGTAAAAATACAAATGTTTGGGCACTTTGAGATTGTTTTATTTGAAGTTAAATTATAATTATATAATTGGATAAATGTAATTATGAAGGTACAAATAAGTCGCAACTTGAGATTTTTCAAATTTGAAGTTGATAAATTGAATTGAAGAATTATTTTTATAATATTAATGAGAAATATAATATTAATGAGTAATACATTTATTTAAATATTTAAGTTAGGCCTGTTTTTTAATTGAATATATATTTGATAATTTAAATTTTTATATTATATATTATATATTTTATATTATATATTATAGGTCTACTTTTTAACTGAACTTTTGTACAATAATTTCATAATAAAAATAAAAAAATAGAATATAATGTGAGTGCATGTGTGATTAGATCCGTAACGTATATGTATTTTTTTAAATTTTTTATACATCTTTTTTCATTAAACTTTTAATTAAATTACACATATGTGATTAACATTTAAATACATTACGGCTCATAAAATTCTTTGTTCATGATATTTATCATCGCACATTATCGACGTACAGATGCTCCGCTTGGCAAATATCCACACCATGTTGTTTTGAAATACAAGGGCAAATTTCGTTGCGGAAGATTGATTATTACAATAATAAACATTATATACTCACTGTGGCTCATTGCCTAAATGATAAGTATCCATAGTAAATGATTTGTATTGTACACCGTTCACATTCTAACATCTTCTGCGCGTCTTCGTTACATATTATATATACACGGTGTCCTAGAATGACTAAACATTCCGTGTGTAAGTAGATTGGACTAAACTAAGTCGAAATGTCCTCTACCATTTTGGAATTTTCGCGATAGTTAACAAGATAGTCGCCGAATATTCACATTTAATAATTTTTTACTCGCATAAAAGATATCGCTGTCGCATATCTTTCTTGTGTACATATATGATTGAGGCATAACTTCAGTCAGTTTTTATTAAAAAGTTAATAATCTTTTTCTAAGAGTCAGAAG